ACAGATGACGTCACCATTAACAAAATTTTGCCTTTTTATCATATGAAACAAATACATTTCATGTTGCCGTGCATCAGTTTAGCAATAGATCACCAAAGACGCCAAAATGTGATCAAAAACAAAAATGGTACACATAGCTGCGCCTCGTGTGCAACTTTTGTTTCTTACCACATTACCACATCATCTGTCACAGGAGACAGATCTTACCTCAGAGCGTTATTTACAAGTGCTAGTTTTCCAAAATCGTCTCCTTCATTCAGTTGGCACACCACACCCTTAGTAAGAATGAAAATATAGAATATACTTTCGTTTCATTGGACAGCAAATTTAAGGTCTTCAGAATCGGAGCTGAGAGCAAGGTAGTCTAATGTGCCTTACCTTTCCATGAACCACGACATTCACTGAGCCCTTCAGTATGATGTACCAGGAAATCCCTTCTTCTCCTTCGCTGAAAACTTCATATAGATAAGAAATAAAAAGAAAAAAAGATGACAATATTTGGTAAGCGATTCGATTGTAATTTTCATGACTGAAAAATTTCATTTCAAATTCATCGATGCAATGACTTATCAACTGGGTTGTGAAGGTAATATAACTCTGACGATGTTTAACGCTTTGAAACTCTTTACGGTAGCCAACTTACATTATCAACTCAGTTAATAAAACCAAATTACCCTGATATACTCCCCCACCGACGCAGCACCACAGTTTCTTTAGAAACTTACCCTCTTTAATACAGGATTGTATTGGTTTTCATCCCCTTGGCTATGTGATTGGTCAAGAAACTCGCGCGAATTCTGAGATTCCAGTTTCAAATCTTAGTCACTAAACAATTACACAATCAGAGGCTGGAAATCTGTCAGAGTTCCCTAATATTAAACACTTACGCACAGTTCCCTTTTTGAAACTGGATTCCAACACAAAAGCGTACGACAGTTCTTTTTTAACCTGACGATGAAAAGAATATGAGTTAAAAATGACGTGTTACTCAGACTGACGACACAACTGTTCAACTGAGTTGCAAAGTAAAGCGAAACTGCCTTGAATTTTTACCACATGCAGTGCTCCACGATGAAAATAGAATTCTCACCATGGTTGAAAGATATTGAAGAGCCTTTACATGCATGAGTTCATCGTAAATTAAAGATAAGTCGTCTGGAGTTCTTTCCATAGCACTGGAATGAGAAAACAAGAATAAGTATTAACTCTGGCGTTTATTCAGGCATATCAAACTATGGCCCTTGATCGTGAGCCAAGGAAACTAGGTCGAATGCAACAACTTTCATTAAGTCGAGGCTTAATGTAAACTTCGTTTAAAAATAAGTAAAAATAAGCTCGCAAAGCTTAATTTCGTTGTTTGACGCGTTCTGTTTAGTTTTTCTTTTCTTTTAATTAATGCCTGCAAGAAATGTTTTTCATTTAGGTCATGGAACATCAAAAAAAACAAAAAACAAAAAACAAAAGGATTTGACATTCGATGGTCTGAGGTTCGATTCCTCATGGGGACTCAGAATTTTTTCTTTGTCCCACGCTCGTGACAAAACGAAAAACATCTTTCTTTAAAGACGAGTTTGTTGTTTCATAACATATCTCCAAGTTGGTTAACCAGTAAACCTCGACTTCGTGCGTTAGACCCAGCTTTCCAAGGTCGCATCCAGACAATTTTACGGTGGCTTACTCAGCTTGGAAAAAAAACTCTCTTTTATTTTTCCCTCTAAAATTTCACCATGTGATCTACCTTATAACGAGAAATAGAAATAATTTCACGCATATCAAAAGACAACATGACAGGATGTTTTGGTGACAACTCACGGTTTTCTCAGAGCCATTCTCAGTTGTGCATCCAATCCGGACCTACTGAGCATGAGCAGTACATCATCCAGGTCTTCCTCACTGTATGTCTCTTTTCCAGGCCTCTCATTATCATTCTCGTCCATAACAAAGCGATAGAGAATGCCTTGGTCTTTGAATTCATACCCATGGCCCACTGCAGGAACGATAAGAGACATTCAGGGGACTCAGGTTCGAGGAACAGACGAGCGAAGTAAAAGTTCGGAAGAGTTTCAATTCCCTTGGAATAACGAACTGGAAAATTATAATTATTTTTCTCTTATTTAGAGTGAGTGCCTGAAGTGCGTTTTTCGAAAAACCTGGAAAAATATTGGTTCCCAAAATGGCCCGTAAAAGGCTATGTAAAAGCTTTATCGCGTTGTAAGTAAATGTATGCTTCCAAAGGGCTCTTCAGATTTCTTAACTCAGATAAAACGTTGCCAACGGACCACCAAAAAGCTTTTAAATAATAAATATACTTCCAAAGCCTTAAAAAATTGATAGGGGAGTAAGATAATTGAGGAATGCGCATTTTTAGGTTTATTTCTCGTGAAAAGACAAGGTTTCCATCAAACGTGACCAAGATAGTATTTTTCGGTATCAGTCCCCCACCTTGAGTAATGACTCCCTCTTCCAAAAGCGCCTGAAGCATAGCGATGGCATGAAAACGACCATGAACCATTGGGCTGATTTTTGTCAGCCAATCGACTGCTTCCGATCCAACGAAGCATCTGCACACCTTGCGTTTATCAAGTTCTCGATCACGGATCAGTTTTGGAGACTGGTGACGAAGCATTGCAAAACGCAAGACCAGTCCACCATTTCTGAGTGCCTCAGGTGAGTACTGTGGGGAGAAAAACGTGTGGTTATTCAACGCGGTGATATACAGAAGTGGTGTTATCGTTGGAACCATTTTGCAGTCTTTTCCGTTAAGGTAGGGCGATAACCGTGCAAAAGCACGCGAATCCGATCCTTTTCGCTGCATGACTGCATGCCCGCTGACACGTAAGAAAGAGCAGCAGTTCAAACCGCCTTTATGTAACTACGTAAGGCCTACGGCAATTTTTAATTGTGAATCCCCCCTCTTCTGCTCCTGTCAGATGATGAGATTGGCTGGCTAAGTGTCGCATTCTTAAAAATCACGCTTCGCCGTTGTACCGCTCTTATACCGTAGCTGAATTCATGGGACAAAGACGAATCAAGCTTACTCACCACTGTCTTGGATGGTTTACCCTCCACCGTATTATTTTCAGGAAGTTGCTCATTATTGTCTGACAAAAGAAAAAGTATGTGAATGAAGATGTAATGAAAGCTTTTCCTAGATTGAGAAAGACCAATGCAACTTGTCTTAGGTACACACTGAAAATTGAGTGTTCTTCAGTTGCTGTTTACGATACTTGCTTTCAGAAAATTTCGCTGACTTGACTTGGGAAAAAAAACATTTTCCTTTTTCCGTGGCCTAAATGAAGGCCATGGAAAGAACGAGATCTTCAATGGGTCACCCTTTAAGATGATATTCAGTCATATACTAATTTAACTTGTTCTACTCATGCGCATTTTCTGCGATTTGTAGCTCAAGAAGAATGACCCAAATTTGAAACCAGGCCTCTTACTGAGTGCTTGAGTAAATAAAGCCCGCTTAACATAGAAGTCTCAGTACCACAAGGAGAGTAAGATTTTAAAACTCACTTTGTTCTCCGACAGGGGTAGATGAGGGACTGGGTATAATGTCCTCTAGAAATTGCTTGTTTCGCTGGAAAAGATTTTAAAATAAAAAATTATTTCTTTTAGATCTTTTTTGGACACTGTGGCGTGGAAAAATATATTATTGTGACAAGGGTTAAATTTAACCCACCTCCCAAATAGTACGGAAGAATTTCTTCTCTATCAGCAAAAGCTCACAAAATTCGCTTGTGATGACTGTGGAGCGTCTGAAAAAAAAAATTCATCAAGAAAACAGGCCTAAAATAGAAGAAAGAACATCAAAGAGCATTTTTTTTTATTATTTTATGGTTGTTAGTTACAAGAACTGAGGTGGACTAGAACAAACAGGCGCATAACCACTCCTTAACTCACCTGGGTGAGTCATCCAGTACTGATTCGCCGAAAAAATTTCCGGGGCCGAGAGTGCAAATGGCTTCAGCATCCTGCGAAGTTAAAGGAATAGACAATCTCTATAGACATTGATTTTCTTCGACTGTTCTCTCTAGGAGGACGCTACACTAACCTCAATCAATGCAAAACCTGTAACAGCGAAGAGATTGAGTTCAAGTAAAATGTTAGCATTCTTTTTATGCAAATGTTGCAGACAAATTTAAAACATCACGACGCGTAGTTGTGGTCCTAAGTTATAGGTCCGTACGTGCGTACAAATAAACCTCCATCAGAGAAAATGTTGCATGGAGTTTGATCATCTTTACTCGCGTTAAACGACGCACCTCATATTTTCCGGTTTTCGATGCACGAACTTCAAGCGCTCCAGCGAGGACAACGTACCAGTAACAGCCAATGTCACCTTGACGATACACTGAGAAAGAAAAAGGATAAACAAACGGAGCAGTGTTTTATCACCACAGTAAAAGAAAAGCTTACTCCACTATGCTGTTAATATCCATTCACCCCATGTACCTTAACATCAGCATGCATATTCTCGATACTGTTCTCTGTACTATTCTTGGGCTGCTGACAGGGAGAATTTGTTTAACAATCAAGAGGTTCTTCAGTTGGTGATCATTTCCTTTATTCTCGTTACCTTAGTGTATTATTCTGGATGATATTGTAGAGAGAAGTTAGATACTGGTCACTCAAGAGTCAAAGGGTCAAAATACGAATCAATTTGAAAGATTTACTATCAGTCTAACGTTAAGATGTCTTTTGCTTAGCATTCTTCAAGTTTCAAGGGGTGGGGTGGGTGGGGGAGATCTGCATCCCTCACAACTTACGAGTGATTCCTTCCTCCAAGTCTTGATAGTAACCATAGTAACAAATTTGGTGAAGAACTGCGTGGTTGAAACGCTCAAATGCCTTCAGATTCTGTGAAATAAGAACAGAAGGACGTAAAATTAAGCAGCAAACGGGAACGAAAGACTGAAAATTGTCAAATGAATGCTCTAATAATTTAGTTGTTGAAACAGAAGTACTATCGCAATTTCCTGCAAACTGTCCTGAGCACGAAGATGATTCTGGCCAATTGAGAGGAATGTTTTCCCCGCCAATTTTCCCACAAATCGCTGTGCGGTTTTTAGCCAAATAACCATACATGCTTCACGTGATCACTAATGGAAACAAAGCTGAAAACATAGTACCTTAAATCTGGCGAAAATGATATCCAGATCCTCCCCTGTTCTGTCCGCAGGTCTACGAAACAAGAAAGACAAAATGGTCAACGTCACTTTTTTCACTTTCACTCCATCGAAGCTTTGTAATAGTTAGTTCCTATTGCAAAAAATCTACCTTAACTTTCATACTCGCGTTTTTTGTCCAGGATTGAAGTGAAGGCTGTTTAAATAGTGCGTATTTTGGTCGTTCACGGTAACCGGCAAATCCGTTTACTCTACACTTGAAGTCACAAACGCTCGGTAATTTTGCTCAATTTTCAATACGAATTAAAGGAAACTTCATTGATCTATGACAGCTTTTCGTTCGTGGAGAGTTATTATTATCCAACTGCTCAAAGAAGAGTACAAATAACGCGCCAAAAGAGCACAAATACCCTACAATACTGTACGGTTATTTAGACAATTGGTTATTTTGTACTGTAAAAAACCTGTTTAACAAGTCGGCTGCGCGCCCTACGTTTCTCCACCACCTTTGCTTTTCCCGCCTCATGAGAAATGAACAGAAAGATTTAGCAGAAAAAAAAATTATGTAATAAATAACTTATGAGACGTTTTGGTGTGTAGTATCGCTGAATATTTCAACTCGTTGTTTGTAGTTTGGCTCGCCCTACGGGCTCGTCAAAATACGGTACAACTCATAAAAATTAATCAGCGATGCTACTCACCAAAACGTTTAATAAGATATATTTCATGCACAGGTAACTCTGACTTTGTTTTTTTTTTTTAAACTTTGGATTAGGGTACAACATAGCGCGAATTTTTGCCGGGAAACATCGAAAAAACTTGAACCAAATTTATTCAGTCAGTATAGTTGCAACGGGCGATATGTTAGAACTCTTAGGGTCAACCATTAACTAATGGCTCCTTTTGGCTTTCTGGGCAAACTTCGCATTTCAATGAAAATTTATTAAATAAATAAACTAAAAGCACTTAGCGCTACTCATGCCGAACCGATATCACAATACATCATGCTACAAACGTCCTGTTTTGACGCTTAACACAATTGTGGTAATCATTTGATTTACGCTTTCGCGCGCGATTGTTTCCTTTCTTCCGAAAAAACAAACAAGACAACTCGACCCTTATGTACTGAACTAAGAGAGTTGGAATGCAAGCACAAACTGCTCAAATATGCCATGATCATGTTTATTCGCCCAGGAAACGATTTCCTTCTCTACGGTATGATTTATGTCTAAATTATTCCAAACCACGAGAGTTTAGTCAAAATTTTGACCATACAGACAAAAGAGCGATGCCGCGATTCGCTCTGGCGAGCGGGGATTGTTCTGGTGCAGTTTCAGAAAAAATACCTCATTGTCTCTTCGTTCGACTTTTTACCGCAGTTAAAAGAATCAAATAAAAGTAACTTTGAATTAATAATGTAAAATTGGTTATAATTCTTATGAATTTCTTTGTTTATCCATTTCGTAAAGAGCTCTTCCATAAGCAATGTTCCCTGTCGGAAAATCTAAAATTAAATTTACATTTCGTAACACGGTTGATCGACTTGAATTTCTTTAAACTCGGCAATCGGTGTATGTCTTTTCAAACTATATTTAAGATTCATCAAGGAAGTTTTTAACGCAAGTTAAGATGTTGATATCTTTTCTCGAATACTCTCTTCTGGGTCATAATCATAACATAATTACAGCAAATGTACATCGCATGAATATTCTAATTGTTGTAAATTGTCAAACTGCAATGATAATATTCGAAGCGGAGTGCTTAGGAATTTCTGTGTTACCTCTTTGCTAAGCGAGATATCCATTCCACAACCATGATCGAGAAAATCTATAGTGAACTATTTTCCTCTCCTTCGAACGAGCTGCTTTCTCATCATCGCGACTAAGTAATTGTGATCATTGCGAAAAGTTACAAATATTCGCGTAAGTGATCGGACTAGGTGTGAATTTGAAGGCCGTCTATAATTGCTAGGTCGACCAATCAAATGATTCGATCTTGACAGGGTGGAAAGATCAATACGTATGCCGAAGAAAGTCGGCGTAAGGAAACAATACATTATCGACGTCATTTTGAAGTTTTTCAGTCGGTCTGCAAGAAATGTTTCATTTCTAAATAACATTCTGATACCAGCCTTGTGATACTTTGTGTAACAAAAAAAAATTTGTGACAAGTCGATATGTCGGCGAAACATTATGCAAACATTATTTCGTCACGCTATTTTAAAAGTAAATATTCGTAAAAGGCACCCAGGACTTAGTGAAATGGATAAAGCCGAAAACAGAAAACAGACAAACAAAACGAGAGGAGAGGAAGGGGACTAAATAGACCTTTTTAGCTTCATACGTCTAAAATGGGTCCGAAATGGGTAAACAACACAAAGTTAACTACGAAGAGTAAAGAATGGTCGACTATTGCTGCGCCTGTAACTGCCATAATATTTCCACAAATTCGGATTTTCATTTTCATATATATGCTAAGGGTTCTAGCTTCAGAGGTTAAGTATCCATGCTATATTTCTTTAATTACTAGACGCACGAATTTCCTTTAATCTGCAAGAGTAACTGGTCAGAGAAATAATTTCGTCTTGTCTCGATTTTTAATATGTTTTTTTTAGTTTCTTATAAAACAGATATGGAATTTTAAAATAAAAAAGATCCAAAAAAATATTTGAGAGCAACGTCTAGTGCCAAAGTATGTTCTGAATATTTCGAAGTCAATTAATTTAAGTTTGTAGACAGCTTAGCTGGGAGATTGAATGATGGCGTCTGCTTGTCCTTCACTGTTTTTATGGTCAACTGGAGGCTATTTCTAGGAGAGAGAGTGTCTCGTTTCCGGAACGATAACGTTAGGCATGGCTGTCACAGGTCAGGAAAATTCAAGGAAAAATGGATTACTTCAAGGCATGGGAAAAGTCTGGGAATTTCACTTTGAGTCAGGGAAAATTGGCATCTTTGAACGGAGTCGGGGAAAAGTAAAATTTTAAGTAAATATGGAGTTGTTCATCTTGCCATATCCATTTTCATAACAGTGGATAAAGCTTGGAATGTGTGTTCTAACGGCGTCGGAACAATGGTTAATAAAATTTGGAAGAATATGGCCGGTAAAATGCTAAAAGGAATGACGAGTTTATTGGGTATTATTTGGAAAAGATTAGTGGATTGCATGGGTGAAACTTGATACGAGCTGAAAGGGTTGACGGATTGGGTTTTTGTAACGGTGATGTGAGTAGATGAATATGTTTACGACGGAAGTTATGAACGGCCGAGTGGTACTGGGACTTTACTGAATGGTCGACGGAGAGTTTGAAGGAGCTGACTTGGAATGAAATGGAACGGGTAAGAGATCAGATTGAATGGTTGGCCGCGTATCAGAGAAAAATGCTTAATAGTTAGCTCAGAAAACATGGATTGAATTTAAACGGTCGGCCGGGTGGGCGTGGGGGAAAGCAAGAGAATATCTGTATTCTCTTGAGGAAAGCGAAACGGTTGGCAGATTGGTCACGGAAAGCGTTCAAATGCCTTACCAAAGTGCCATATTTAATGGTTAATTTTTTGCACAAGGAAAGACTAGTGACCAAGATTTTCTTGTAGACATTTCCTTTGGAGCCATCTGGTCATGAAATGAACTTTTTACCTATAATCAGGCGTCCATATTAAAAGATAAAACACGTTACTGCCGGAGAGACTTGACAATTCTGCTTCAAATTCCTCACCCCCTGGGCACGGGCGACAGTCAAATGCCCATGGGTTGCCGAGGAGGGGGGAGGATGTAGAAGCTTCAAACTGATCGGGGCATAACCTTATTGATCATAGAAATATAGTCAATATCTTCAAAACTAAAGTGAAACCAAGAGGCGTGGCCGAAAAATTTAGGTTCTGTAATTTACTGTACGGACCGTGAAAGTGAGTTTAGTAAGTAATTCATCATCGTTTCCTCTTTCTGTATTTAAATCTGTCATCATGTTGAACTTTTTTTTTTTTTGTTGATGTGTCGAGGTTCTTTTTTCTCTATAATTGTATCTGTTTACTTGCAAGTTTGCCACTTTTCTTTAATTGGCATGCGCAGTCACTTAATGTTGTTACAAATAGAAATGGCAGTCTAACGCTCTTTGAAATCTCGCCCAACCCACTACTTGAGACCCTCTTAAAGTAGTTATCTATATTTTACTCAAACTAGCGAAACAAAGACCATTACGAAGACACAACTGAATATGTCTCACATTAAAGCCGGTACCTGTCATCGACTGGTGATACAAATTAGATAGATATGCAATTTAACGCTATCTGAGACCACGCCCCTATCAATCATTATCCCCAAAGATCCTCACAACTCAGTTGAATGTTTTATTAATCTTAGTTATTACTGAGGAGCTTATTTCTAAGGAGCTTTCTAAACGTGGACCAAAAGTCATTATGTCGTACAGTATAGCTTTTGTCACATGTTACAAGCATATTTTGCGCTTTTTGTGACTATACCCCCGCCATAGTCTTGGAAACTTTCTTTATACGATTCAGTTGATCGTTAATCGTTCTCAGTAATTATGAATCAGCTTATCGTGGATTCAAAGTCAGCATGTCGCACACTGCAGCCAGAATCTGACCAAACAACCAAACAGAATTGATCAAGAGCGCAACAAAGGAGAGATGAGCAGTAAAAAGGTTGACAATTATTTCCAGCGTCTCGGATAACTCGTGGCGGAAAGACGCACTAAAAGTGAGCTTGGTACAGGACACCAGTAAGGCTGCAACAAGAAAAATCGCGGCCAAAGAGAGGAGAAAGTTGCAATTGATAAATTGTACGCCTTGCGGACCTATGTAACCGGTAATGCTGAAAGTGACTGTTGTGACAACCTGGTCAACACAAGTTTGGTATGCATGACTCACTGCATCAAGGCACGTGAAGTTGGAAGTCATCTTGCGTTTCCTACACAAGGAAAGAAAACAAAGGTGATCTTGTTAGTTTAGTAGTGCATGGGCAGATCTACGAATTGCGCTAACCATTTTCAATTGGACGCATTTTAGGTGCACTTA